CCCCCCCCCCGGCCATTACCCCTCCCCTCCGCAGCCGACCGCCCTACCGGTTGACCATGCCACAGAATGCCACCCTATGGCTACCAAAGCCACCGTCTTCCCCCGAATAGAACGGACGGTCATTATCCCTGTATCCAGACAGGAAATAGGGCCCAAATACAGGTGTAATAACCCTCCGTTGTATTCGGAGAAAAAGGGTGCCAGGGCCCGACCGATGAAGCGAAGTGTACGACCAGACAGCGACCGAACGACCGACAGTTCGCCCGCTGGTGGGTCCAACTGCGGCGTCCCAAGGCTGTTTGGTGCCACAGGACCAGCGACCGGAGACCAGAGACTACCATAGCGACCAGCGACAAGCGACCAGAGACCAGAGGCCAAACGACCAGCGACAAGCGACCAGAGACCAGAGGCCAACGACCACTGACAAGCGACCAGAGACCAGAGACCAACGACCAGTGACAAACGACCAGACACCAGCGACCAGAGACCAGAGACCAGAGACCAGGGACTTGAGACCGGAGACCAGAGACCAGAGACCAACGACCAGTGACAAGCGACCAGAGACCAGAGACCAAGGGTCGCTCCGGGCTCTGCTTTTACTGAGGGTCAGAAACCAAGACAAGCATCTGCCGGTATGTCCCAAGGCCCAACCACCCTGTTCCCCCGAATAGAACGCACGCGCAACGTCTTTCCCCTTTTCTCCTTTCCCCGCACGGTTATTATCAGTGAATCTATATCGACCAAACGTTGAAGGCATGCCCAGTAGCATTTACAGCTGGATGCATCTGACTGCTATTACGTCCATAAACGTAAACTGTATCTGACCACATTCACATCTGGAGGAATTCCCGTACGTAAAAGAATTCGTGAGGCTTCAGCTAGGGAGAGTCTCATGAAAACAGCGCCCCGGGGCAAGGTCCCACGTGCGCCGATTAGGAGATTTCGGCCGTTGATCTTTGCTATCTACGGTCAATATCTCTTAATTTCCGCAAGTGGGACCTTGCCCCCGGGCAAGCTTGGCGTTCTACCAGCTAGAGATAACCCGTAGGGCCCCCAAGCCAGCATTGGCAGGACCTTGGCTGAACTTGTTGGCTGCTATGCAGCGACAATATTGGTCATTAGACACCGCAATGCGGGTTTGGGGGGGGGTATGGGGAGGTGCAGTGACTGGCCATTGCTCGGCACTAGCACTGCCGATTTCCCCCATAGGCAATGCCTGCCCACCCCTCATCACCGTGATGAGGGACTGGTACAGCCTTGCTCTTGCACCAAGGTGTTGTAGAGGCCAGTCAGTGTGTGCACAGTGATCACCTGGAACTGTGAGCCGTGGGTGTCCGGGAATATGAGACCACCTCCCAACCCATCCTCACGTCAATACTCATCCTCACGCACTCCCTATCCCATTGACTTACCGTGAGGGCACGGGTGCGCAGCCCGTAGTTCGTTTGTTTATGCGGTTTGGGAAGGGTAAGGTAGTGATTATGCTGTATGTATGTTTTGTCATGTTTGCTATACACAACTCGAAGAGTGTGTGGGGGGGGGTTCCCGGTTGGTGCTTTATTCACGATGTTTATGGGACGCTGGACCCAGTTTCCAGCAGGTGGCGCTCCCCATCAATAGACAAGAGAATGTATCTGCGTATGTATGTGAGTGTGTGTGTGTGTGTGTGTGTGTGTGTGTGTGTGTGTGTGTGTGTGTGTGTGTGTGTGTGTGTGTGAGAGAGAGAGAGAGAGAGTGCGTGTGTGTGTGTGTGTGTGTGTGAGAGAGAGAGAGAGAAGGCGCGTGCGTGTGTGCGTGTACGTGCGTGTTCATGCGTGTATGTGTGTGCGTCCTCCCGAGAGCACTTGAAGGGTCTTTGATTTTCGAGAGGTGTCAGGCCGTTATCCTGAGGCCATTTGGAAAAAACAAAGTTGTACGACTGTCGTTTTCCATTCTTTGTCCAACACCATCGTTCTTTCGAGAGTGTTGTGTGGTGAGGGGCCCGAACCTCTCGAAAACCCAACTCTTGAGAACGTCTGACAGCTCTTGGAAAATTTCCCCGTTTCAAGAGTGGTGTGGCGAGGTCCGTAGTCATACAACCGTGGAGACAATCAAACTGAACCATGGAACGTTGGGTCTAACCGCAGTCTTACTCGATTGTGGTAAGTGTCTGAATGTGGACGTGTTTGTGGACAGGTGCCAAAAACTGTGATTGATATACGGATATGACCCTTAGGGCCTCGCCACACCACTCTTGAAACGGGGAAATTTTTCAAGAGTTGTCAGACGTTCTCAAGAGTTGGGTCTTTAAGAGTTTTCGGCCCCTCGCCACACAGCACTCTCGAAAGGACAATGGTGTTAGACAGAGGATGAAAAACGACAGTCATACAACTTTGTTTTTTTCAAATGGAGTCAGGATAACGGCCTGACAACTCTGGAAAATCGAAAGTCCATCAAGGGTTCAGGCAAGGACACTCAAGGACGCTTGGAAACACACGAGTTGCAGGCTGGGGTTTCCCATCGTGTGCGTGCGTGTGTGTGCGTGTGTGTTTGTGTGTGTGTGTGTGTCAGAGAGAGAGAGAGAGAGAGAGAGAGAGAGAGGAAAAAAAATAAAAAAAATAAAAAACCTGCAGCATGCAACATGTCAGTGGCGGGGAGCAAGAGGGCAAGCGTTGACCTCCAACAAAAAGAAAAAGTAAGAGAGACAGAGAGAGAAAGAGACAGAGAGAGAGAGTGTGTGTGCGTGTGCGTGCATGTATGTGTGGGTGAGTGTGTAT